ACCTGCTTTTCATTAGCCAGCACCTCAAGTCCTGAGAGACTGGCTGGTCGTGGGCTGGGGGATGTCTTCCGTGTGCATCTTCGTTTCTCTGTTTATTTATTTTAAAGGGTATTTGCTCGGAATGGGGAATCCCCAGCAGAAATGTAGGAGCGCTGTGTTGGCTCAGCAGGCATCCAGAGAGTCGTGCGAGCGTAGAGGGAGGAAGCAGCTCGGTTTCTGCTGTTACAGGAACGCTATTTATAGAGCACGCGGTGCCACATCAGCGGCGGGTGACGGGCCTGCCAAGTAGCGAGCGCTTTGCAGGGGTGAATTTTTGTCTGCGGTCTCATCTGCCGGCAGGCAGAGACCTTGGAGGTCCTGGGCTTTTGACCCTGCGCTCACAGAGGCTTTGTGGCCCTGCCCGTGAGTTTACTCGAGCCGATCACCGTGTGTTAGGTCCAAAAAGGAGTTAGGTACGCGTGGAAAAGCAAAGCAGAAGCCTTCAGGGTGGCTGTGGAGCCGACGCCGAGGCTCTGCTCTCGGCTGCTTGGTGGTTGGACCTCTCCAAACCCAGCTTTGGGAACAGCCTTCCCACCGTCCTGCCTTCTCTCCCCTTCCCAGGACATGAACAACCTGGAGGAAGGGGTGGAGTTCCTCCCTGCCATGAACTCCAAGAAGGTGGAGAAGCGCGGCCCGAAGCGGCGGGTGGTCGTCGCCGTCACCATCGTTGTTCTCCTGCTCGTCTCCCTCGTCACCGGCCTCCTGGTCTGGCACTTCAAATGTGAGTGTGACTGATGGGTGATGGCGTGTAGGGCGATACCCCGGGAGCGCATCCACGGGGAAAAGCTTCGTTCTCCTGCGTTGCTCACGCGTGCCCTCTCTAGGTCCAGGAAGGCTCTAGGAAGTGGGGGGACAGCACTTCCACTCCCTCCCCTGATTCTGGTCACGGGGGACCTGCCACGCCGCGATCCCAGGCCTGACTGCCCTTTCTGACCCCGAGCTGTTGCCTCCCAGACAGGAACGCGCCCGTCCAGAAGGTTTTCAATGGCCACTTGCGGATTCTGAACTGGGAGTTCATTGACACGTACGAGAACTCCAGCTCGCCGGACTTCATCCTGCTGGCCAAGAAGGTGAAGAGCACGGTAAGAGGTTTCTTGCATCCCTCCTCTTGCCCCCTGGCCACGGGGAGCTCGCGTGTAGGACTGCTTGGAGCCTTCTCGCTCCTCTCAGCTCTCCCCGCTCGCCGTGACACGCTGGGCTGGGTGCAGGGAGCCTTGGTGTCACAGCTCCAGCCCAGAGCCACAGGCTCCCCTGCCTCTGCCACCCAGGAGCCTGCCTGGGTTAATCCCGGTGTCGGTGGAGGAGTCA